CGTGGTGACCGTTTATGCGCGGGAGGAAGCATAGCAGCGCGTTCTCGACCGCGATCATTTCCAGACAGTTTATGTGTAAGGAACTCTCGTGGCTCGACCACTGGCCGGCGGCCGGTGAGCCCTCGCAAACCGCTCCCCAACCCGAGTTGGATGCGTTTGTCGAGTTAACTTTCCGGCGAGAGAAGGTTCCCATGGTAACGCCCCTCTGAAACCACTCGCTTACTGCCCATGGCTGGAGTGCAGTGATACATGTCTGAGTAATCCTGATCATCTGGCGGCCCGTCGTCCACTCGTGGTGGGATACGCGGCTCTTTAACCAGAGTTGAAGGGGGCGCATGTGCAGAAGACCCAGCTGTAGCACAGCGGAGGCTGAAGCCATATGACCCAGCATCCTCTGAAGCGATTTCAGGGATGTATGGGTACCCATCTGAAACGAGGCGGCCAGTCGCTGAACACGGCGCGCGCGCTGTGTGGATAAGCGAGCCGTCATCGTGATAGCGTTCAAATCTATTCCAAGGAACGAAATAGTTTGACTGGGCTGGAGAGAGCTCTTTGTCCAGTAGACAGAGAGTCCCAGCGCTTCCAGATGGTAGAGGAGAACTGTGCAGTGCGACAGCAGCTCCGTCTGGGAATCTGCTAGACTCAGCCATTCGTCCAGATAATTCAGTATGCGCAGCCCTTGACTTAGCAGGGGGGCGAGCGCTGTATCCATGCACTTCGTGAACGTACGGGGTGCTAAGGATAGGCCGAACGGGGGAACGGCATACTGATAACTTTGGCCCTCTAAGGCGAAACGTAGGAATGGCCTGTGATGAGGGCTTATCTGGATCTGAAAATATGCGTCTTTCAGGTCTTGAGAGATGAACCAGTCCCCCTGGCGGACGTGCGCGAGGAGTTTCCTGACTGTGAGCATTTTGAACGGTCTCTAATGAGCGCTTTGTTCAAAGCCCTGAGATCTAAGATCGGCCTGAGACCGCCGTCTTTCTAGGGAACCAGAAAATAACGGCCGTAACACCCCGACTCGGTCATAGATGGTGGGACTCTCTCTATAGCGCCCTTCTGCAGTAGCTTGGCTATTTCTAAGCGAAGCGTGTTCATAGCGGGCAGCTGACAGTGGATTCGAGCCGCACGCGCGAGCGTGGCGGGCGGCGACGAAACTGTAATCGATAACCATTCTATATTATGCTAAAAACCCACGGGGAGATGCCGGGGATGGCTTCCCACGCTTCGTAAGCGGTTGAATGGATATTTCGCCCTGATTGCTGCACATCGCGGGCTGGACACTGTGTGTGGGCACGCTTATAATGTGGGTGGCAACGGGACTTAGACTCAGAGAGGAGTTTTATGGGCCGTGTGACAGAGCGGGCAGAGGGGGGACACGCGCACGGGCTCGTGGGCGTGCTTATGTTCTCTGCTACAGGAGCGGAAGTGCTCGCTCCGTGAGAATGGGCTCTGTGAGACCCTGGGCATAAGGTGCTTGTGTGTGTACGTGAGCACAGCTTGTGGGCACATATATTACACTTGAGGCTTTTATGCTCTTTTTGTGAACTCTCTGGGTAGCCGTGAAAACGGCATTTAGACGCTCGCAAGCGGGCAGGGAAACCGGCTTGTTTGTGGCGGTAAACACTACTGCAGTCAGCGGTGAAACGGGGACTAACAGTGGGCGAAGCTTTTACGGCGATCCGGCCGCAGCGGGAGAAAGCCGTCCTTTTCTCAGCTGTGCTAGGCAGACTTCAGTTGATCGGGCCTCAGCGCGATCTTGGGTCGAGGCCCCCTGGAGGAGGCTGTCTGCGGCGGCTGTCTGAGCGAGAGCGAGGGCGGCCGCCCTGTCTACGCTGGGGCTGCTGAGCTTGCTGAGGCAGGCGCTGCTGAGCTTGCTGAGGCGGGCGCTGTTGTGGGGTTCTGGCAGGAGGCTCGTGAGAGCGGCCTGTCGAAGAACTAGAGCGGCGGGGCAAGAACAGATTCATGGCCTGAGTCGCTTTCTGTACCTCGGAGAAGCGGTCAACGATGCCCGTGACGGCAGATCCGAAGAGCCCGGTAGGAGATATAGGCGCGTTGAGGAACAGGGCGCGTTCTGAATCTCCCATATCGGTGAGCGTGAGCCACAAGTGTCTCTCAGTGACAACGAGGGCGGCCATGCATTTTCCCAAGGCCTGTGCGGCGGCTTTAGTGGCGCGAAGGGAAAGATCCGTCGCGCTTCTCAGATCCGAAAGGATGGGCGGGTTCCTACCGCTGTTCGCCATCTCGCACGAGATGTCGCTCTGGAGCGCCTGGATGGAATGCAGCGCTGAGGCGGCCTGTTCGGCGGCGTCAAAGGCGCGGGCAGCATGGCAGTATAACTCATCTCGGCGGCTCCGTCCACTGAGCGAAGCGGACCCCTCGGAGCGGATAAGAGCCGAAAGAGGGGCATTCCAGGATTTAGTGAGCTCGAAGTGAAGCTCAGGCAGGAATGGTGCAGCCCGGCTGCAGGCGGGGGCCGGGCGCCGGTTCGGTGGTTGCTCTGGGGGAGGAGACCACTCGAGACCCAGGCGGTGGATGGCCTGCGAAAGGAGGCGCGAAAGTCCCTCCTCGATGCCGGCGCGGGTCCCCGCAGACTCTCTCGTCGATGAGCCGATCGACGACCAATCCTCGCTGTCAGAAGGGTGCAGCGAACAAGAGTCCTTCTCATCCGCGGTGTCGTCGGAGGCGACAGAGCGGCCATACGGCGGCAACTGTAAGTCCGGCAGGGGCGGAGAGGGAGAGCGGTCGGTGGGCGGCGGCGGCGGCCCACATGGATCCGCAGGGGGCTCCGGCGGCCTCTGGGAGCGGCGTTTCTTCTTCCGCGGCGAAGTGAGAGGCGGCGCGGGAGCGGTTCTGACTGCCTGTAGTCGAGCCCGCAGGGAAGACGGAGGCAGGTCCTCGCAGTGGTCGCATCCTCCGTTGGCGAGGGCGAGCTCTGCGTGTTCCACTCCGAAACAGAGAACGCAGAAGCGGTCTCCTTCCTCGAGTGAAGAGCGGCATGAGCCGCAGGAAATACGAGGCATCTTGAAAAAGACGCTCGGCTCTTTTAGGAATATGGAATAGTAAAAAGGATACGCGTCGGATGGCGCTAGCTTGCTGGGCGGCTGAAGGTGGCAGACGGCCGGCTTCCTCAGACTCCGGAGCTCGCTAGACGGTGCCTTCTCAACGACGGCGGCTTCTTCCCAGGACAGCGGATGCGTGTAGCTCGCTGAAATGAACAGAATCAACGAACGAGCTGGGAGAGCGACCTTTATACACTGTAGCCACGCCCCTTTTGGCGGGCTGTGACGCAGTAAGCGAGCGCCGTCCGCTCATTGGCCGCGGACTCAGCGCCGCTCTCCCATAGGTTCGTGCATTCTCTCTGAGCGAACCAATGAGCCGCTAGCTAGCCCGCTCATGGTCTGCCTCAGAAGAGACTGCGTTGACAATGATTACAAAATTATGGAATAATTTTTTGGCTTCAACTTCTCAGCAAAGATGAATCTTTCCCGTAGCGTAAGCTAGCTTACGCAATACGAGAGAACCTCTCGTAAGAGAACCACATAACCTCAAACTAGTCATGCTTCAGACATTCCAAGTCATTATAGCTTCCGTTTGCCACATTGCCCTTTCAGTGTCTGTGTCTGTACCATTATGACTGTGTTGTCTCATAGATGTAGAGCAAATGATGATTTAAATGCAAAGTGCAGCTCTTTTACAAAACCTTTCTACTTGATATGCTGTCTACCTTATGCTGTCCAGCTTCGCAGTTCCTCAGAACTGGTGATCTTAACTTTTTTTTTGCATGTGAGCTGGAGAAACCCTAGCAATGGTTGCAATAAAATATGTAATGTTCATTCTCATTGCATTGTAAATGGAATTATGGTTTCCTGAGCCATAGACCACTCAAAAATGAAAATTCGGTCATCATTTACTCTCTTGGGTCGTTCCAAACCTGCATATGGACAAAAAGATGAAATAAAGGTTTGAAATGAGGGTAAGAAAATGACTTTGCCACTTGTTCTTGTCATACAATTTGAAACATTCCATTGTTGTTTTTCTCATCTGCTTCTAATTTAATGTCTTAGAATGACTCAGGAGATGTTATCATATGCTTGTGGTCATGCTAGTGTTGTCTGCTGGAACGTACTGTTATAAGAACCAAGTCAGCACTTCTTTGACCTAAATTGAAATAGAGAGTGCAAGAGCATGGTGTAGTGCTGCAAGTATCAGTTGGTGTACATGGGGCAAATTTAACACTGATTTTCCAACAAGAGCCCTTACATCAAGTGCTTTTATAGATAACATGAAGTAACCATACTTTCACAGCATTAATTAATACTGGTCAGTGTTTATTTCTGTGCATACGTGACTGATCACAAGTTCGAAGTTGGCATTTATTTATGTTTTAGAAATAAGTCTTATGCTCACCCATGCTGTGCTTAGTTTGTGAAATATTGTAAATTAAAATAATTTGAATTTAACTATTTGAATATATTTTAAAATGAAATTTATTCCTGTGATGGCAAAGCTGAATTTTCAGCATCATTACTCCAGTTTTCAGTGTCACATGATCCTTCAGAAATCATTTTAATAAGATGATTTGGTGCTCAAGAAACATTTCTTATCAATTTTGAAAACAGTTGTGCTGCTTAATATTTTTGTGGAAACATAAAAAAACTTTTTTTGCAGGATTCTTTGGTGAACAGAGAGTTAAAAAGAACAGCATTTATTTTAAATATAATTATTTTGAAACATTTTAAATGTCTTCTCTGTCATGTTTGATCAATTTAATGTCCTTACTAAAAAAATAATAAATGTGCAAGTGCATAAATTATAATTAACCCAGATTAATAAATTAAGAAATGCTGCACATTTTTAATTCATGTAATTAATAGATAATGAAATGAAAATTAATTTACTCACCCTTGAGTTGCTTTAAACCTGTATGAATTATTTTGACACAAAAGAAGATAAAATATGGGTACCATTTTTAGGTGAACTACACCTTTAACTAAAGTTAACAAATTGAACATTATTGTAGGTATAAATCTATTAAAGGTGGATGAAGTCCATGTGTTTTGCCAAGAAAGATTCCTGTCTTGAAAATGTAGTCCTAAACTGAACCCTACCCATAACCTATCCCTAAAACCTGAGGGACATGATGGGTGAACAGTTACTGATGTAGAAGCACCTAACCCATGTTGGAAGCCGAAACTTGACAAACTGTAAACTTGTCCCTCAATTCTGATTGGTTATGTGCAACGTTGTTCTAGGATCAACAAAGATGTCGATCAGGAACATGTTGTACCTGGTGAAACCCTATCAATATCTCAGGCTCAGCCTAAAGCACAGTACAGTTCTTGTAAGGTTTTAGATGCAAGATGTTAATCTGTTGACATCAATTAAATGATAAAATTTGAAGTTTTCCCAGGCCTCAATAGCTGTCAAGACACACTTAGCTTAGGTTTAGCTATAAAAGTTTGCCCACAATCAGCATGTATTTGCAGATCACATATGGGCCACTTTATCTTACTTAATCACGATCAGCAAAAGCCATTCTTTTAGAACATTATTGACATATCCTGTCGAAGCTGTTGACCCATATAAAGTGCATCTCAATGCACTGCTGGTATAAAAATGTGCTATTCACAAGTCTACTGATGTGTATGTAGGTGAGACATGAGAGCGTGGGAGAGCACAGAGATGTGTCCGTGTCTGTCAATCTGATTACAAATTACATGATGAAAATTGTAGATAGTTACTCAATTTAAATGACACATTTTTCATGTATTCAGACTAATTTTTGATTACCTTTGATCAAACTTATTTATCACTTAGAAAGAAAGAACTGATGCCACAAAAAGAAATGCATTGCAGGTTGGTCTATGTCAGGGAGTTCAGTGATCTGAAGATGACTGTCTACTTTGCATTTGTCTGTTTGCCTACGTCAAGATCGGGAAGTGTCTTTCTCTTTCTCACCAGCCCATATAAACAAGCAGATTCAGTGCAGTTTGTATTCTGAAGATGCAGCTCTCATTGGTGAGTTTACACCCTAATTCAGTTCACTCTAATCTTTCTTTCTTTCTTTACCAGTGACTAGAACGATTTTAGGAAAGTTATTTTCATTTTGGAGGAGTATAATCTAGATAATCTAGATCTAGAATCTTTGATCTGCAGGACAAAATTTTGTTGTGAGAAAATGTTAATTTAGTTTGTTTTATTGAGTTCTTAGGATATGCACCACTTCATTTATGTAAATAAAGATGCTTAACTGACATTCAACTCAATAACTATATTCAATCTTTAAGCCTTTCTTTACGATTTACAAATTGCAATTGTAGTAAAATTCCATCAAGTTGAATTTAATAATCCTTATATATTATTCATATTATGGATTAAGAATTTTAAAGAAGTATAAATCTTAATGGAATAAGGGAAAGGACCATTTTGTTTAGGTGATTCATATTAATAAATGTTAATATAGAAAATATTTCTTTTATTTTTTTATTTAAGTCAAATTTACATAAACTGAATTGGTCCATTCCCTTGGTCCCTTAGCTTTATTCAAAATGTTTAAATTATAATATATATATATATATATATATATATATATATATATATACGTGTGTGTGTGTGTGTGTGTGTGTGTGTGTGTTTTTCAATTTTTATTTAAAAAAATGTCAATTAAGCTTTATTTTTTATTCGATAAATGTTTTTGAGTGTATTTAGGTCTCATAACATAAGATATCTAAAGGTAAGTCTAAAAAATGGATCTTAAAGATTCACATTTAAGGATTGAATGTTTTTTTTTTTTTTGGTAAAATTAACAATATCAAAACGGAAAGTCCCAGAAACACCCGGCAGTACTTGACTCTTTGTCTCCATCCCCTCAGGTTTTCAGAGCTGTGCTGCTGCTTTTCCTGCTTGCCCTTATACTAGGTGTAGAATGTGATTCTTCTGAGAAAAAGTCTAAAAGAAAAGGAAAATCGAAACGTGAACGTAAAAAGAAAGGACTGTGGGTCGTCCAGGACTCATCTCCGTACAACAGCTCAATGAGTGCCTCCCTGTCTCCAAACAGATCTTTGTCACCCTGGACATATGAGTGAGTCTTTAATCTGATCAATCATTACTGGTGTCTATTTTAATCTCAGTTATGTGAATCGTACCAATAATTTGAAGCAGTTTTGAGGAATTTCACTTGAAGGTAGATTGTGATTCACTGATTACACAAAAGGCGGTTCTGTGAATTTTTATAAATGTTTCTTCTTCCAATTCAGAACTTCCTTTGACGATTCACGAATCCCACAGAAAATCTCTGAGGCAAAATGTGAAAAAAGAGGCTGTATAACTGAAGATGGTGAGGAAGACTTGGGACTGGAGTCTAAACCCATCTACTACCAGATCAATGTCCTGAGGAGAGTGAAGGGCAAAAACAAGATGTACTACGCCCTTAAACTGGAGACTATAAGTGTTAGTGTAGGCTGTACATGCGTTTTACCCATTGTTGTGCCTCAGAATTAGTTCTTTATTGTACTTTTAACTGTGTACTGCTATATTGCTGTATTAATCTGCCAATACAGAAAACGTCTGCTGTAATCTTTTCATCAGCTTTGTATTTATTGTAATCTCGATTAATAAAATATTATTGTAATATTTATTGATTTGTGATTGTTTCAGTGCTTAGACATGTTGGAATGCATTAAACAAACCTTCGTTTTAGTTAAGAGAAGCATTTATTTGACTGTTTAGAGAATCTGGAAATTACAAACACAGTGAGGATTTACGTTCCATTTTCTGACAAAAAATCAGGTCGATTAACATTAATTCTCATCATTGCACATACGACGGCTCTTTTTTGATGCTGCGCACCAACATCAAATTGCTTTATCTTCATATAGAACAAATAAAAGAAACAAGACTATACGGTAAAGCTCAGTGGCATGCCAAAGCAAAGTGCACCGTTCATATCTAATACTTTCAAACTATTTCCCGAATACAAAGCAGATCTTTATCTCACACCTGAGTGCTTCCATTCTTCATTTTCTGAGATGCCACTATGTGTTTATCTACTGATAAAAGCTTTAAAATATAATAAATGTAAAAGCTAAATGTGCTTCTGAGTTGTGCTTAAAGTGTCACTGTGCTCACTGTGAGAGAGGAATATGAGCTTTCATATCTATAGGCATCCAGAATGTTCTAATAATCTAATATTAATTATATAAAATGTTCACCTTGCATAAACACAGCAGGAAATGTGATAGATATTGTACCTCTAAGCCATTTGATTACCGATGCTTTATAATACATATTGTATAAGCATGTTCTGTGAAACCCTATTGATTATTGAATATTAATATTAAACGATAATTAAAAAAGCTCGAGCCAAAGCCTCAGTAAATGGCACATGTTTTGGAAAAAGATGCTTTTGTGACAATAAAGAGGATGACTTTAAGATGTAGCTTAAGTTAAAACATTCATGTTTACTGGATATGGAGGTTATAAAAAGCATCTCTTCATCGATTTCATTTCTAGTCCTCCTTTCCAAGTCAGTTCAACGGATCAGTTTGGTATATTCATTCTTCTGCTCTGAAGCAACCTCCTGTTCTCCACCAAGCAACATTCCCTTAGTGCACCTTGCATTGCCATCAAGACAATATTTTTTCTGTTTTTTGCTAACATTAAGTAGCTTTCCAAAAAAGCATGGTGTGTTGCAAATTGTCATTATCAATGTCCAATATGTCCCCTTTTTGAGGTGTATTGGCTACCTTTTGTTTTATTTTTCAGTTATCAGTTTCATCTCCATAACTTTTCCCCTTGACCACATCAGTCCTGCGCAGCAGGCGCTGCTCTACCGGCAGGCCTCCTCTTTTAGCTCTTTGTTCTTCCTCACCTCCTCTGCGTGTTTGTCCTAAATAGACACAAAACAGAAAACTTACTTGATGCATGTATTAGTGTGCCTGAGTGAAGCAAAATATAATCCACACCATTCTAATACAATATTCATACTGATTCTTTGTTAGACTGGGAAGGGACTCCCATGTCCCTGAATGTGTGAATGTGTAATCACACACACATACACACACACAAATAAAAAATATATATAATTTCTGAATTATTCTAATTATGGAGTAATGGCTGCATAAAATTAAGCTTTGCCATCACAGGAATAAATTATGTTTTCAAATGTATTCAAACTTTTTTTAGGCATATATAATATTATATTATTATACTGTTTTTTAAAGAAAAGCAGCTTGATGAGAAAAAGAAACTTAAAATAAAAAAATTATCCCAAACCTTTGACATTTTTTTTTCACATAAAACGAAAAAGTTCTCATTTGATTGTGATGACGTGTTTAAAAGTAAAAAATGTCTTAGTTTTAGCTTTTTAGCTTTCCATTCAGAACAAATATTTCAAGTAACACCCTAAAGTCCATTTATTCTTGTTGAATATCCTGTTTCAGTATGAAATATGTCTCATTATGAAAGCAAAATGGGTTGTAATTGTAAACAGCCGTTCACACATAATGAAGTTACTCAAGTACTTCGCATCCTTGTCAGTCAGTTTGTACCTTTTCCTGTAGTCTCTCCAGCATGGCAGCAAGCAATGCCTCACGGTTCTCTTTGATGGCCTCCATCTTCTGCTCCAGCTTTTCTTTAGCATTCTTAATGAAGTTGTTGTTCTCCTCAAATGCTTTCTGGATGACCTCTCTCTCATGCTCCCTCTTCTCAGCAAGATGTTTTAACATCTCTGCCTCCTGGAACTGGAGAGAATACAGTTTCAGCATCAAAATCAGACCGAATAGAGTGATGGTTTGGGCATGCGAGTGTAAATACCAACCTTCCGCCTCTCCTCAGCGGCTTCCAGTTTCTTCTGGATCTCCTCCAGGGAGGGGTCCTTACGCTGGGGCATGGAAGTGTTAAGCTCAGGCACACCGTCAAAAGAGGGAGGTTTCAGGATCACCTCAAATGCCTGACCCGAGGCCCGCTTGTTCAGCTCAATGACCTCCATGTCTTTGATCACACACCAGTTGAGATCCACTGCATCTTGAAGAATGATCACATAGAGTACTTTCTGTGAGCTAAATGTATCATGGCCTCATTATATTTATGCTCATTGCATTTTAGTGGTAAAGATGTGCCTGTTTTGTAATTTACCCTCAGCCTTGTATGTGGGATTCTCTGCATTGTTTGAGTTGATGCAGGAGCACAGAAGTGACACTAGAGGGAGCTCCTTCACCTTGTCTCGATATGCTGTGAGGAGAAACGAAAAATTCCTCGTGATTCGTGAATATAAACAAAAGCATGCTTTCTCTTAAAAATCTTATTCGTACTTGATTGATTCAGAAAAGTACACATTTCAAAACAAAACAATCTCATTAAAAACAGCTATAAGCAATTCCACATAAAATGTCTAGCAGGCTACCTGAAAGATTTCACTGAATTAACCGCGAAGCGCATCGTTCCCAGGGATTACTTGAACTGCTAAAATGTATGCATTCAACTTGAACACAATGTAAGTCGCTATGGATGAAAGCGTTTGTAAAATGTATAATTGTAATAAAATCTTTATTTTTAATTACAACTCGCGGATTGGAAAACCTGAAGAAGGTTCTCTGATCAACCAACCAATCGCATGATTTTTGGGGCGGAACTAGCTCTTTGCTCGACCAATGGGAGTCCGAGGGAGCGTTTGGCAAACCTGTTTGGGGACAGGTTTATTTTAAATAAATTGTAATTAAACATTTTACATAATTTTAAAATAGATATTTGTAACCCTGGATAAACGTTTTTCAGTGAATTTTAATTATCAACGAATTGAAAATGTTTGTATTGGATTTTCTTAAATGTCTGATACTCTGATTTCGTTGAACATAATTATTGTAATTTATTAAAATCAGTTTTCTTCTAGTTTCTCTATAGGTTTTAAAAAGATTTACACCAAGCATCTGTGATAACATTTCAAACATTTCATACCCTGTGCCTTCAAATGTTGATTTCGACAATAGGGGCTTTGGAGTTTGAGAATCAGGGCTGACTTTTTGTTGCTTACCTGCCAAGGTCATGTTTATGCAGTATCGCTTACAACCTTTCACTCTGTCCTGTTTAGAGAGAGAAAAAGAGAAGAATTGGAAAGAGTGTGTGTTTTTAGTTTACTTGCCACAAGGATAAATCCCTCTGGCCTCAAGTAAATGTTCTGAAACATCAGAATTATAAAATCACTCAAATTAATCCCATTTGATTAATACACTAATGTCTTGTACTTTCAATCCATTGTGAATGAGTGTCTAAAAGGCGCTTTGTTGTGATGTGGCGGGACACTAGTGAGAGGAGAGCATGAATTTAGATGAGGGGCAGCAGGGAGTGTCACGCACAATCTCTGTATTGTTACTCCGCCTGAAAGCTGCCACTTATCAGACAATTTTAGCAAGCATCACAAACATTAAACATTACATTAATCTTAAAAATAAAATACCAGATATGATATTAAACACCCAAACGCCAGCCCAGATGACATTTCATAGCTTAGTGAAAGGACTCAGGGATGCTATGTTCAGCTTGGGGAGCACTAAAACCTAAAGAGATAGTTGGCGGTCACCGGGTGGTGGTGTGTATGTCTGTCTCAATCTATAATCGTGAGCAAAACTGGAGGGACCCCTATGGAGAGACACCACTGAGAGAGAAGCATTGCCCTGCCCTGTTCATACAACTACTTTTGTCTATGCACACTTATTAGCATTTGGATTAATAGCCCCTTACTGCATGTATAGCTGTGTATTTACAGCTTGTTACAGAGATACCCGTTTATATTTTCAATATTATACTGTCTTTGCCATTATATGCTCACATCACCGTAACAAAACAAATTCCCATGACTCCTTTACATAATTGTTATCTGCTGCCCCAAATGGCATATTTGCACTATTTCAGACCAAACACTTGAAAAATCAATACAAAACATTAGCATTAAGTAACAAAATTACTCCAAATCCAACAGTAAAAACTGCAGTCAGTGTGTGAAAGGTTGTCAGACTCTTGCCTTTGAATGACATAATCTAGTGCACTCTTGAATTATGTCATCTTTTAACACATGAATGCATCTCTATACACACAGATACAGATTTGTCAATACAATAATTTTTTTTATGCATGTAAAAGTAGCTTGGCATACATTATTGATGGCAGACACAGCATGCTGTAAGAACACTGAGTTCCCTTTAAATGTCTGATGCGGCAATTTCAATCTTTTGAGTCAAAGGTAACCTTTTTCTTTTAGTAATCAATGTTCAAATTGCAAAAACACATCATGGCACATGCAGCCTCTCAGTTGATTTTGTGATGCTCACACTTACCTTTTCTTCTTGATGAGGTGTTGTCCCTGTCTCCCCCCTCTCTCTCTTCTGTCTCTTTCTCTGGTATCCTCTTTTTCACCTCCCTCTCTTCTGCTCCTCAGATACAAGAGCTCAGCAGCATCAGCAGCGGCACCCCTCCTATCGCATGACATCATCTCCCAGTGCTGCTATTGGCCGAGGTGAGTGGCAGAGCACGGTGGGCCAGCATTTCTCCATCACAGAGAAGCACGGGCGGTGTTAACTCTTTGTGCCTTACTGCAGGTGTCCATGCAAAATAAAAGACAAGTGTTCTCTAACACGTACTTTGTAGATGACAATAGGAACTATTATTATTAATTATACAACTAAAGCAATAACAGAACAAATGTTTAATTTCCCCCATATTATATTATATTATATTATATTATATTATATTATATTATATTATATTATATTATATTATATTATATTATATTATATTATATTATATTATATTATATTATATTATATTACCTACCTGTGGATAAGTGGTTTGGAGAAAATATGAATTATTTATATATATATATATATATACATACACACACACATATATGATTTTATATATATTATGAACTCTATTGTACTATATCCTGTATTTTCATGATGCATAAACTGCATTTGTCACATTTGTGAACCACCGCCCAGTGTTGCCAGGTTTGCTAACAAAACTAGCGCAAATGTCAATCAAAAAAGCCCAAAAATAGCCTAATCACACTATACCAAAAATAAAATCTGCCACTACCAAATACATATTTTACAGTTGCTGTTTTGCGTTCTACCCAATATCAACTTAAAAATCACTATAAGATAGTAATTATAAACACGTTCTGTTTTCATAAAGGAGCTATGCCCTACCAGTTCTCTCCATCACAAAACCCATCATTGTTTTATCATGTAGAATGTAAAATGGGTAAAATATATAAATACAAGCATTTCAGTCAAATAAAATGTATGCAATATATCAAACATTTAACCCGCTGTAATTAAATCAGTTTATAAGAAGCCCAAATCAGCTTCTTGAAAATCACAGACTTGGCAACCCTGCCACTGCCCCTTCTTCTATTGCTACTGAACTCCATACCCATAACCTCCTAAATGATGTCACCCAGATGTCGGTCCACAAGGGATGCATGAGCACAACAAGTAAAAGGGAGTGTCTCTGCTGTACTGCAATGCAATAGACAGAATTGTTCTGATACTAGAAAAGATTTTCATTCATGATGATGACTTAACACTGTTATCATCATATACATTTTCCAGTCTAATCATAACCACTGACTGGAAAGAGAAAGAGAGACAGCATCACAATAAGAGATGTGATGATATGATTTAGGCTTTATAACCACATTTAGTGTCTATCCGGGATGTGCACCATGGCCTCAAGTTTTTTGGTATAGTGTAGCCCAAAATGATTACATTTAAAATGTATTTCTGATTACTGTATTCATAATTAAATATTTCAAAAATAGAAGCACTTTCCCTTGTGATCTTAAACATAAATGTATCTTCTCAACGTGCCAAAGTCCAGACTCTTCATCATAAGCACCACGTGTGATTCTGCAGACGTACCCCAGGTGCTGTCTGTGTATCGATCTAAGGGGAAGGGAATAGTGGAAGCATAATGATTAAGAACCCTTATTAAATCCCACTGAGGTGTGACAGATATTACACAGTTACTGGAAGCACAGTCTTGCTCTTTCAGAACTGCACACATCCTTACACACCTTGTTTGGGATGTAAAACACCTCATCTTTTGTATTCAAATGCTCAATATTCTATAGCTACCTGCATGATTTGCCTTTTCAGCTTCATGTAAGCACACACCTCTTATGGTTTACTCCAGCACAAAGCATGACTCACTAAGGTAGAGCTGTGAACATGTCTGACATCATCCTGTGCTTTCTGATGACTTCACCTACACAGATATTGATTCACTTGTCCGATAAGATTACATCTTTAAATCCAATATCAGTGCCTTTCAGTAAATAATTACATTGTTTTATTGTCTGCAGTTTTTCTAGTCAGCCAGGCCACTTTCTCTGACCCACTTGAAAGTTTTTGTCAGTTTGGTTATTTCTTCTGGTTAGAGTGGTTATTTTTTGGTTATCTTTCTCTTTCTTTGCAGAGTTTAGGTTGAGATTACTAATCAGAGGAGTAACACCAGTGATGTAGTGGGGCTGGACAGTGGTGGACATTGAGAGAGAGAGAGAGAGAGAGAGAGAGGGAGGGAGAAAGACCGATAGGACAAGATTAAAGGGCAGGAAATGGATTTTTATCCCCTTGGAGATTTGTAATTAAAACGGGCGATCTGAGTGGTAAGATCGTTACTCGGGCGTATATGTAAAATAGAGAGTAAGAAAGGGCAAAAAATCTGAATTACTCCAACTATATTCTGGGACTCTAAATTATGTTTGTACGACTTGCTAGCAGCCGTCCCCTCCATATGCCCCCTTTTTCCCACTCGGACCTGTTGACATGCCAGATGCTCTTGCAGGCTTGTTGCCATGGAGACAGTCTTGCACCATCTACAACTGTCTGAAATTATTGGCAGCTTTGGTACAGAGTTTTAAATGTCTGAAATCATGAAACTGAACGGAAACTTTTCTAAGGTAATTTTAGGCCCAACACAAACATCAGGCTATTTGTCTCAGTTGCGGTAAAACCAAATGTTGTAATACAAAAACAAATCTGATTTTAAAGGTCACATATAGGCCTGGACTTTATTAAATCTGATCCATTTACTTTATGAGTGGTTAACCTCAGAGAAAGAGAAATTCTTTGCTTTTTCTACTATCCCCGATTCTGTGGATGTTAAGATCATTTCTGTTGTGACAGAGCAGAATTTGGTTCCTCTGGTTCCTCTGACTGCACAGTCTAAATGTCAGCTTTTGAGACATTTTAGACTTGTTTTTCAGACAGAAAAAGAAATGAAATGCCTCATGTAAGAATTGATCAAATAGTCTTGCAACACTTTTTCCAGATGTTCATTATGACTTCCTCCTGTCAGTGACCTTAGCAGGTAAAAACACAAAGGTGGTCTGGAAATGCACCACTGCTCACATAAAATGGCTTACAGGGGAATTACGTTTTGATGGGTCACTGCCTAGGGTCATAGTTTATGGTTGAATTAAACTGCATTCAAGAATGAAGTGTTTATGGACAGGATCTCCTCAAGTTCCTTCGGATCTCTTGATCTTTTGATTTTGAGCAGCAATGGTCTGACACCTAAATCAAATTTCACACTTCCAATTCTTTAGTGTTCAAAGGCTTGTTTAGTTTAGTATGTAAAGAACTGAAACTAATTTGCTAGAATGGTAGAGGATGGTGGGTAATTCAACAGCTTGTGTTTCATGTCCCTGTCATGTCAGATACCAGACAGGCAGGAGATTTGCAGATTGCAGGAATTATCATGTTCAGAACATTAATATTGCCACTCTGCCAGCTTGGATCTCACACACTCCCTTCTCCCCCTCTATCCCTCACTGTGGACGGAGAAGTCTGGGAAAAACATGTATGCACTTTGTGCACATTATCATGTCATACTATTTTATATCACATACAAAATATATACACTATTTTAAAAAAATCCTATATCTTCTGCAATCAAGAATAGAAGCAATCTACAGGCGTGGATTTACATTTTCTTCAGTCTGAGGCTTATTCATTTCACTATGGTGTGAAAGCTGTGCCTTTACATTTGACAAAAATAGAACTTTTGTTTAAAAAATAACAAAAACAAACTCATCCAAGCAAAAACAACAACACCAACGCAAAAGTAATGTATCTAATGTATCTATAATGTACTTAGTTACTTTCATATATACAAAGTAACTAGTGCAATTAGTTAGTACTTGTAACGCATTACTTTTAAAAATAACTTTCTCCAACACTGAAAATGACAGTAAAGGCATTTATAAGGTTACAAAGGATTTGTAATTCAAATAAATGCTTTTCTTTTAAACATTAGAACCCTGAAAGTATAGAGTATAATATAAAGTATAGTTCCACAAAAATATTATTTTCAGCATTGATAATAATAAGAAATGTTTCTTGAGCAGCAAATCCGTATATTAGAATAATCTACTTCTTTAAAAACATTTTTAATACTAAACAATTTTAATGACAGACCCCAAACTTTTATAAATAAATTAAAAGTAAATCTATACTATATATTCAATTTAAAATTTAAGCATTTTCACTTGTGGGCAGCAATATATATGCATATATATGCATATTTTTATTTATTTTATTTAAACTTCTAAATAAAGAAGCATAACCATACATTTCATAAATGTATTTAAATGCCTGAGCTTCATCTGCTTCTGAGAGCTTCAGTCATGCCTCTAGAAATCTGTCTCCCCCTTGTGGAGAAAATAAAAATTACATCTTTGACTACAATATAAGAGCTAGTTTGTAAGGTTGAGTGTGACACATTTATTAAATACCCCTTCCAGGTCAACATTCAGTGATATGAAAAATACCAGCTTTTCAATGACAGAACAAAAGTAAAGCACTCTAACAAAGAGCAGTGGAGTTCCAGAGAAGGGGGAGGTTTGTGTGAATACAACAAAAGTGACTCTACCAGCAGACTTCCATAGAGTCTGAGCTGAAGTTGTAGGGGCCACCGCAGTGGGTGACTGTGGACAATGTACCACCCTGTGACTCTGTGTCTTTGACTGAAGGTTGTCAAGAGACTCTAATCAACAGGGTTGCAAATCTTGGTCTTGCCACTAGACTTCTACTGCACCACAACACCGCAATATAGACTGCAGAACCTATATTCTCCTCTTCCTATTTTTTATAAAGTATTTTATCACTATTATCGTCAATGTAATACGGACAATAATATCATATATTTGATCCTATTATTTGATGAAACACTGGATGTGATTTAGAAGCTAATTATGCTTAGTCTTTTACGCTCATCAAGGATGCATTTGTCTGATGATCAAAACATATAGTATTGTGAAATATTATTACAATACAATTTAACTTTTTAATTTTAATAAGTTAACATAGTTTATTTCACTGATAGCAATATTTCAGCAGCCATACTTGATTATTTAATGAATTGAAATTTCAA